GTGAGATAATGTTTTGTATCTAGAGTCTAACTTATATTCCTTATCTCAGGGACCTGCGGCAGCCGATTCGGTGGTCGAACCACCGATCACTGAACAGCAACCGCCAGCGGTCCCTGACCTGGTTCAACCGAACGCAGAACCAGGACCGCCGATCCTTGCATCAGTCCAAGCAGACCCTAAACCAGTCCAAGCAAACCCTGAACCAGTCCAAGCAGACCTTGTACCAGTCCAACATTTTGAAGCAGTCGACGTCTCTTCTTCAGAGTCGGGCGACCCTTCTGTTAATCAGAGCAGCGAAGTCGTGGTTAGTATTTTTCTTTGTCTTCATCTCCGTATGCTAATCTCAATTGTCTTTGAGTTGACGTTTTACATTTTTAGGGTTCTGAGCCAGGCTTTATAGGTCCTCTACCCGCAGCCGCCGAATCGGTTGGTCAGATGAGGAACCTTTCTGGCCCTGCCTCACTAACTCCGGTTTTGCTAACTCCTTCTGAAGCTACGGCCGTTCTCCACCAGGTAACGTCCATATAACTCCATTACCTAATTTTAACTTGTGAATCTTTAATCACTGTGAGGTAGTTGAACAGGCAACCCGTGAGCTTAGTTTCCTGAGCAAAGTGCCATTACTGGAATCTGCCACACCAGTAGTACTGCGCTGCGTCGATGTTTCGTTGGCTGATCTGAGCTCTGAAGATGTAAATTCTCTACGTCAGGTGGTTGTTGATTTATTGGTGCAGACTCCTACTGAGTCTGTCATGGCACCAATTCTCAGTTGGATGATGGAGAGGATCATTGAACTTCAAATCGACCTGCCTTTGATTCGACCCGCATCATCCGACTCTGCATCATCTCAGGCCATTCCTGACACTGCAATCATTGAGGCGTCTCTGTCAAAGGCGACAGCGGTACTGAATGAAGCTTCTAGTAGGTTGACTGAACACCAGCAAGTGCGCCATCATTTGAGAGCTGAAATCTCTCAAAAAATGAAGGAACTCGAGAACCTTCAGAAACAGCTGGAGTCATTAGAAGGCTGCATTCAGGAAGATAGTCGCCTGGTGGAGGAGCAGTGCCGGAGTTGCGCCAGCCTGCATGACCAACTCCAAGCCAGTACTCGGTCAAGGATGATCCAGGAGCACGAAAGTGCCGTCAATCAAAGAAGAATGGCGCGCACTCAACAGAAATGGGCCGACCTAGTAACCGCCTTCAAAGCGCTTCTTATGTAATGTGTGTTGTCGGATTTTTATGTAACAAATGTAAACTTACCTTAACTTTCTGTAAAGTATAAATATAATATTCGTATAAAGATATATTAATTAATATAACTGTTGATGCAGTTTTTCAACAATAAAAAGTAAATTTTGAAAATAGAGAAATATCTCCCTGAGATTAGGGATTTCTAAGTAATGTAGAATACTAAAATTGTTACATATGAAATTTTGAATTATGTTAAAAAGCTTAGGGTAAAAAGAAAAATGTGTCTAGGAATGCACTTGATGAAACTGGCGGAGGGGCCCTGTTGGAAAGTCAGGAATAGTAGATATATTTCTAAGGAAATTGCGGGTTGGAAAGGTCCTCAGGTCGGGAGGGTCGCAGGGCGGAAGGTCCTCACGTCGGGAGGTCTGGAAGTCGGGAAGTTCGCAGGTCGAAAGGTCCCCACGTTGGGACGTTTGGAGGTCGGAAGGTCCTCCAGTCGGGAGGTCCTCCGGTCTGGAGATACCCAGGTCGGAGCTCTGCAGGTCGGTAAGTGCTCAGGTCGGAAGGTCCCAGGTCTTGAGGTCCCCAGGTCGGGAAATCCTCAGGTCGGAAGGTCGTTGGGACGGAAAGTCCGTAGGTGGGAAGGTCATCAGGTCGGGAAATGCTGAGGTCGGGGGGTTTGTAAGTCGGGAGGTTTGCAGTTGGATCAATAAAGCGGAAAGTCTGCGGTCGGTCCAGGGAGTTAGATATTGTAGAAAGTGAGAATGACACTGTGGTCGGATGAGAACACGTGTCGACAGGAGAAGGGTTGGCAGACCAACCAACTGTGGTCCCGAACACAGAGCAACCGACTGCGGTCCCGACTACAGAGCAACCGACCGGCTTTATTTGTCTTATCTCCTTAGATGGACAGACTGTCCTCTACACAAACCTCCGCGTCTGTCCATACTTCTTCCTTGCCCGACCTTCGTCTTCATAGACATCTGCGCCTGTCCAACATTTTTTTTCCCGACTTGTGGGCCATTCGGTTTATATCCTGACCGGTCCAGCATCCTACTGCCATTATTTATTATTATTATTTTTTTTTTTATGCTCAACAATAATTATATTTTATATTTCTTCTCTATAATTTTTATTTTACTTTTTATTTATATTATCTTATATAAAGATATTGGATAATATAATATTGTTCATTATATATTGTTTGAAATTAAATTTATATATTTATTAATTGAGTACAAATTTCAATGATAGATTCAATTAAAATTAATTTTGTATTTTATATTTTTATTTTTATTTTATTTCAATAGTTTAATAATAAATATAGTTAATTATTTTAATTATTGTCAAATAAAAATTAACATTTAAATATACATGTATAATATAATACTATTTTAGAAATAGTTATGATTAATAGTTGATTAATTCATTTCTAAATATTTTAATTATGTATGCACTCGTGCATAGCACGGGTTGAAATGGTAGTTATTTTAATTATTATCACGTTATTATTTTGTTATGGTTAATTATTATCTGTAAATTGGTCAATTGATTTTGGTTTTGGATTGTAAATGTTTTCTGTTATTAGTATTTGTTAGGGTATTGAGTGGTAAATGCTTGCTTATTGAATACAGAAGTGGTGATTATCTACTTTAAGACTTATTCAGGGCAACATACCTTGCATTAGGGAATAGGCACACGAGCGAAACTTTCTATGTTGAAAAACATATCATGTTGGTTATAATCTTTTCTTCAGTTGGATTCTACTTGTTCAAAAATGATGAAATTGTTGCCTAAAAATCGTTAAAAAACTTTGACACACTGAGCGGGAAAAAAAAAACACATAGACGCAGAGGTGATAACACAGTATATAAAAACGAAGATATCAGTTGTAATCATTCAATATTAATCTTAACAAGGATCAAGCTGATGAGATAATGCATGTTTCATCATTATGAAAGTGATGTTGCACTAAAAATCTTGCCCCCAGAATTTTTGGAGTTGCAGCTGTAGAATGGATTTTATTCTATCATACAAAAATCATGTTGAGAATAAATGGTTCTAGGGATTAAGACCACATTAGACTTTGTTGTATACCAAATAAGTATGGACTAAATTAATGTAAGGCTGTAATGGAACAACATATGCATTATATATGTAAATAAAAGTTTTCGGTCGTTAAGTAAATGTATTCCAGTTTAGCAAAGAGTATGCTGTCGGCAGCAAAAATCTTCTGCCTGAAATCCGGTACTGTAGGCAGTTATCTCCCATTAATCTAGATATCAGTGCTGACAAACAACAATGGTAATATATCCACATACTTGATCTGTAAACCATTAATGGACTTTGAAACATCTATGGTTGTGTATATGGATTGATTCATTCACAGCATTTCCTGTACAACATTGTCCAATAGCAAGTGATAAGCAGGACATATACAAAGAAGATTAGCTTAGGAAGATTGAAATATAATTTCCGTATTGCTAAATAAATCAATACATAACACAATATAAAAAAAAATGTTTACTGTATAGTCATTTGAAAGCAAACACAATGCATAAATTATTCATTGTTAACATTAAGGGGAACAATCTCGTTACGAAGGAAAATTGGAATAATGATAAAAAATGTCATGTAATGACAAGTTTGATCACCACTACAATACGAATTTAGATTAAAACTATTGTTGATTTCTTTGATAAATTACCGGTTGATACTATATCTTAGCAGGATCTTCGATGCTCAGTTCTGATCTTAGATGTTCGAAAATGTTTGGATCAGAGCTGAAGAATTAAATACAAGATCATTACCTAATTTGAAACGCAATAATTAGTATTTAATTGTATTCTAAACGGTGTAGGAGAGCAAGAAACACTGATTCACTAACAAACCAGTGCCCTGTCTTAGCCTGTGAATGACACTGATCTTAGAATCTCTAATGTCACTGTATTTAAGTGTATAATAATACCAAATAAACAATATAATAAGCAAATAAGCAATTACATTCATAGGTAAGTACATCCCCACTCTTTAGTACAATAGACAAGTTAATTCTTCTATAGTCATTTACGAAATTTCGAATGAATATCATACCTTTACAGAACGCTAATGTGAATTTGTCCATGTAATAGCATCCAAGTCACTTATGTGAGTAATTGTGTCCATATTCCTCTAGTTAAGCACGTATTGGACAACTCAATAAGAAGATGTAATTTTTATAATATAAACTACAATGAATGTCCAACGTAGTTATGAACACTGGATTCTTTAGTCTCAAATCGCTTCTGAAAGCGCATGCCATCAGATACTCTGGTGTGGTATATAGCCTTCACATATTTTGTCAGAGGTATAACAAACTCAAAGTGTTGACATCTGACAACAAATAGGAGAGCAATCTATAAGAGATAATATACGTACATAAGGTGCAGATGATAGAAACTCAGTTTACATATATGCTACATGAAAAAACCATACATGCATAACAATATAAATGGCTAAAAATCAGCTTGCATCAAACAGTAGGAAAAAGTAGGACTGAAAATTCCGACAGAAATAGAAGATTCATGAATAAATAAATGGAGCATAACTGTAACTCACAGTAACAAAATTAAGTGTATCATAAAAATATTAGAGAACTTACCATGTTTGATTTAAGCCTCCATAAAAATATAATCCATGAAAAATCACCCGAAACAAACTAAAGAAGGCATGAGATGTGACCAAAAAAGGCAAAAACTGAATAAAAAAGAAATAGATTGTTGACAATAATGTGGGAGTAAGGGTAGCAGGTGGGCTCTTATGGATGCCGACTATGTGGGATTTGGAAGTGGAGGTATATTAATGCCAGCCAATTGTAAAAGCTTCTTGTAAACTATGTTTTTCGTCCAAGAACAATGCATTCCAGTGTTGATGTCTGAAGGAATGAGGACATGCAAAGAGTCAAAAGATTTTGCTCGTGATAATGCAACATATAGTTGGCCATGCATAAATACTGGTTGTTTCATGTACACTCCAACAACGTCTAATGTCTGCCCTTGTGATTTGTTAATGGTCATTGAGAAGCACAACTTCACTGGAAATTGAGTACGTATGAACTCAACAGAGCATTCATGTATATTGTTAGGCTTTAAAGGTATTCGTGGTATGAAGCATAAAGTTCCTTTTTGCGGGCCAGTTGCAATCTCTGCTTGTAAGAGATTGCGTGTAATTTGCTTGCAAACAAGCCGTGTACCATTTGAAAGGCCATTTGTGGGGTCTAAGTTACGCAATAGCATTATTGGTGCACCTGTCTTCAAAACTAATCTATGAGGTGGCATACCATTAGGTGTCAAAGTATTTAGGTAATCTTCATAATGTGCTTGTTGTGATGGATCTTTAGTTACATCTTTTGCAATTAGTACGATTGGTTCTCCAAACATGCTTTCAATTATTTGATTGTTAATAGTATCAACTGTCTCGTTGGTTGGTGTCAGTATAGATCTACCTATTAATGCAGCAGAGGAACTTCGATGGAGTAAATTATGTGGGTAGATCTTGTCAATTAGTTGCAACAAGTTATTATTTTCAAAGGTAATCAATGAAGTTGTTGGGATCTGAATCTCTCCTTTGTTGTTATTTACACAAGAGTTGTTCCCTACTTCCTCAAGAAATGCTGCAAATGATTTATCGTTTTGTGCTCGCATGTTGACAGTTAAGTGAAACTTATCTGCATGTGTAAATAGAGGAGACGATACACAACTTGCTTCGATGTACTGGTCCTTTGTTCCGTCTCTTATAACAGGAGTAATTTGACGGAAATCCCCCCCGAAGATTATAACTTTACCACCAAAACTGATGTTGTTATCCATAATATCTCTCATAGTAATGTCAAAAGCCTCAATTAGTTCACGTCTTGCCATTGAAATTTCATCCCAAATAATTAGGTCGGTATGTCGTAACTCATTTGCTAAGGTAGACTGTTTGCTTATCTGACAAGTCTTATGCTCATTAATATCCAATGGCAATTTGAATTTTGAGTGGGCAGTTTGTCCATTAGGAAGGAGCGATGCAGCAACTCCAGATGTTGCTACAGCAATAGATTTAATGGTATGATCAGATGTGTATGACAAAATAGCAGTGTATAAGAAAGTTTTCCCAGTACCAGCTGGTCCATCAACAAAACAGACATAAGGTTTCTTGTTATGCAGTTTCTCAATAATAGTGTTAAAGACGAACTGTTGTTGTAAATTAAATTTGTCAATAATTCCTGGGAGTGTGACCAGGTTAAATTCTGCAGGCGATGCCTGTTGTAAAGTTTTTTCAATTAGGCCATTTTCGGACTGTTCGGGCATGCATATTCCAAAGTCATGAATATGCATACCAAATGGTTGAAGGAATTTTTCTACAATTATGGCAGAAGCACGATCAATAGGAAAAAGTGGAAATGAAGACGAGATTGTGGTAATTGGGACACAATATTGTTTGAACATCTCCCATAGTTGTATAGGTTCAGATGGTGTACAAAAAACAAGTATGGTAGCAAATAATTGTGCAAAAGCATGGGGCATTTGAAAAAGTGCAGCTTCTCGCAAACAATCCACCAATGGATATCACTCTCTAATAATCCTAACGCGACACATGCATTTCTAAATGAATCATGTATAACACCATCAACTGTTCTTAAGTCCTCGTATGATACAGGAGCACGACGGTACTGCAAAAGAAGGCGAAGAAAATATCTTTCTTGGTCAGTTGGCCTTGCTGTAACAATCCTCCCTACTATTGAACCTTGTTTGCGAAAATTCCAATTATTGTGTGCCCGATCCCATACAAAATGTTTTGGGAACTCTTTGTAAAGTAGATTAAGTGCCTTGGCATATGTGTTGGTTGCATTCATGACAAAGAATTCAGTAAGCATAGTTTTGTGGGCACGTGCATTTGTTACAACATCTTGTAAAGAGTCTGTTACTTTGAATGAAGTGTACTGAAAATTAGGTAAATGCAATTGTAGAGCAAGTACAGGAGGGTGCATATCTGTCAGGGGGAATGCAAAAATACGCCAACAAGCTTCAGGTGGAGCAACCCAACGGCCAGTTTGGAAATCAATAATCTCATCACGAGGTGTGTCGGGTGTTACTGAGCCCACAGTATAGGCAACCCGATCATGACCTTTATACACATATTTGTAGAGATATTTTACAAGTTTGACACTCGAGCATACTTCCAAGTTTATATGAAAATCAAACTTAGCAAGTAAATATGGATTATATGGTACCACCCAACGGTTGTCCAAAGTACGTCCACGCACATAAACAAAAATGCCATTATTTTTTCTTATGTACTTAGGATATCCATTTGGAGTATGAATTGTTTCATCCACAAATTCCTTCGGGTAATGATTCTTACATTGTCCATCAACCATGCACACATTAGTTGGGTTTTGAGAGCCACAAGGACCATGCATCGTATGTTTCAAGACCAATTGCAATAAGTAGGGGTTTAAGTTACTATTAGAAAGTTCTGCAGATATAAATTTGTCGTAACTTGTCGGGTTGTGTAATTTAAATTGTGGAAACATGATAAGTAACATATGGGCATGTGGCAATCCTCTTTTTTGAAACTCAATGACATATGAATACGCCTGCACTTTACCTAGCAAGTCTTGTTTGAAGAGTTCGTTTTTTAGTTCTTCAAGTTTCATTCTAAACACACGAGCAACAATGTCAGGTCTATCAGTTGATAATTCAAATGGTTTTAAGACTTCTTCAATCTCTGGCCATTGTGGATTACAAGTGATTGCAAGGAAAAAATCAGGCTTACCAAATTCTTGTACAAGAGCCATAGCATTCATATATCTTTGTTGCATGTCACGGGGACCACCAATGAAAGAAGATGGAAGGACAACTGGTTGTCCAATCATAGATAACAGTTCATGTTGGGATTGGTTAAAAGCGTCTAGAATACCCTGCATGGTGTCGTGACGGTGTTGTTTTTGCACTTGTTCAGACCGGAAAATATCTAGCCTTTGAGTTTCTATTTTTATGTACTGGTCAGTTATATATTGTTGTAACAAACGGCCAGTATGTTATAGTAAAGTAGGACTTGTAGGCCACATTTGGAGGCGACATGTATAGTATTCTCTAATAGAGACATGACTCTTGTCCATCCGGCGTTTATTACGTCCTAATTGCATACTGTAATCTGAGCAGCTATTTATTGATAGGTCAACTTGTTCAGTATAAAACGACTCTGCTGATAAATTAGGTGTTGATTGTGTAGAGGAGGATGAAGATGTAGCAGAATTTTTCACAATACCTGGATACCTACCTGGCTGGCCAAAAGGATGGATCAATGGATATTGAACAGGATCGTAGGCATAAGAATAATAATCAACATTTTTCACAGAACCATCAACCGGATATACTTGTATGTCTCTAGATAATTGGGGACAATCTGAAGACCCATCTTGCCATATAATTGATATATCATCAACCCCGTGGAAGATTATACACTCTTTGATCTAATCGATTGGAGGTTTTTAGAAATATTTTATAGTTATCAAGACAAGACATTGTATACAATTGACGGAATATACTTGCATAAGGGTTCAGATGAGACAACTCAATCAAGATTGTAACAATAGATGGATGTAAAGTAGGGTAATTACTCAAACGTTCGGCAAGCTCTTGTGTAGGATCATAGTAATAAAGTTGCAGGTTTCTCCGTACATTTGTTGAGGGGAGCAATGAGTTAATGAAATGGTGAATTGTATTGTTAACACGAAATATATATAAGTTGTGATCATTATTACATAAAGATACGTCATAGTGAACTCCTAATGTAGAGAAAGCAAAAGAGTTATTATAAGTCCTAACATAGGTATGAAAATGAGATGATAGTTCATGGCGATTAAGGAAAAGGTCTTGCAAGGCAGGTGGCATGTCCAATAGCGGTAAGGAAAACTTCCCACCAGCACAACATAGGGTTTTATGCTCACTGTGGAATAATAATGCACCACAGTAACGGCATTTAGTCGGTTGGGGTGCGACCCAAGGCGACACATAAATGGCAGACAATCGTAGTAGTGGAGAGCATGCTGGCAAGATGAGTAAAGTTTCAATAGATACGAAGATACATAACAAATTAAGTAAAGAAACAACATTTAAAAATTTAATAAACTAAAAAACGAAAGTAAAAGACATAATGTGCATACATGTTTGGTTAACCGACTGACTATTACTTGTTTGGTTAGCTGATCGGCGATCACATGTTTGTTGCTGACGTCTAATACATTGCAATGACTGAGATTGTGTCATGGGCTGTAAAAAGAAGTAGTTATAGGTAGAAAATAAATAAATAATAAGAATTTGAGAAAAGAAAAAGACACAAAATGAAAAAAAAAGTAAATAAGAAGCTTACTTATGCCCCACAAAGTAAATATAAATTGATAACAACATACAAGTTTTAATTCCCAAATCAACTAATACATTAGCTTTACTTTTAAAGTCAACTATAGAAAATTAGTAAACATGTTAAATCCATTTTGTTCGTGGTAAAAACAAAACTTTCTCAAATAATTCAATAACAATGAGATTTAAAGATAATTACTTTTCACTTTAAAATTTAACCGGGGAAAAACAAGCATGTTTAAAAAAAAATATACTTTTTTTTGCACAAGATTACTCTACGTTTTGACCATTTCTTCCACAATCAAGAGCCATCAATATGAAAACCAGAAATAACAAAGAGCAAATTTATCAACGCTATTGCCGAAAAAGTCGTAAAAATAAATATGCTACTCTAAGTCAAATAGTTTACATAGAATGCAATTTATAAGGTCAGAGAGCAATTCTTAGGGCCATTTGCATTAATATATTGAAATATGACAACATAGTCCAGAAAAAATAGAACCAATTCTACCGTAAGCCTCGTATTTCAGCTGCCCGAAAGATAATGCAATAAGTTGTGGCTCTTTTTCTTCCAAAATTCAGTGGGTAAGAATTAACACCATGACAAAATAGAATAAAAATAGCCCTTTTTTTAAAAGACACCAACAATAGCAATAACTAAATTCTACGGAAGCAAAAACGAGACAAAACTTAAACTAAAACTGGTCGAGGCAGAGATCTGTACTTTCGATGGCCGAATCAAAATCGCGCTTCCGGTTCACAACAACGAAGATCACACCCGGGAAAGCCCAACTGTTTAGGGAAAGTACATTGTGATGAAGATGATGATACAGAAAGGCGTGGCTGGACGCCAAGAACGGCGGCCTCACCTGCGATTTCAGCAGGTAAGCGGAAGAGCAGAACAAGTGGCTGTGTGAAAAGACAGTTGTGAAGGGGTTGTCGATAAGCAAATCAGTACAGAGCTAGGTTGAAGGGCTAAATTGTTATTTTCGAAATAAGGGGCAGGATAGACTTTTCAAGTGACACATCCGTACAAGCTCGTCTTTTGAAGCCAGTAAAAACGGACGGTAAATTGTTATTTTGGAAAGAGGGATATGATAGACTTTTCAAGTGGCAGTTCCTTACAATCTGGTGTTTGCCCTCAGGTTGTTTGGTCTAGTCGGTTGGTCTGGTTGGTTGTTTTCGGTCGGATTGTCACGTGAGATGGTTAGCAGTCGGATAGGCAGGCCGGAAGGTCCTCGGTCGGTTTCTTCTTGGTTCACGGGTCAGGGTCGGTTGGTTAGTCTGGTCGGTTGGACCTCGTTCGGATGGTATGCGGTCGGGCAGACAGGTCTAATGGTCAGCAGGTTGGACAGGAAGGTGTGATAGTCTGCGGTCGGATAAAGTAGCTCGGCTGGTCTGCGGTCGGATATACAAGTCAGTTGGTCGGGAGGCAGATAGACAGGTCGCTTGGTGGGTGCGGCGAAGGACTCTCTGACTACCGATTCCTCTCTGGATTGGTCGGTTGGGCTATTTGAGTTCTGGAACTGGTTTAGGGTTTAGGGTTGAGAAGGTCCTCGGGGGGTTGGTCTCGTCGGTTGGTCTCTGGTCGAATGATAAGGTCGGTCGGTTATCGGTCGGGCAGACAGATCGGAAGGGCCAAGATCGGTTGCTCTAGTTTGGCGGCCATCGGTCGAATGGTCAGCGGTCCGACAAAAAGGTCTGATGGTCAACAATCGGACAAACAAGTCTAATCGTCAGTAGGTTGGACAGACAGGTCTGATGGGCTAGTTCAGTTCTGGAACTGGTGAAGGGGTTTGGCGAGGCGACTGATGTAACCAACCACACGACGTTTGAAAACGTTTCATCTTGGGCGTTTGCTGGCGACGATCCCAAAACGTGTTTTCAAGCCAGTACAAAGGTAGATTAAGGGCTAAATTTTTATTTTCTAAATGAGAGACAGGATAGACTTTTCAAGTGGCAGATCCGTAGAAACTCGTGTTTATATGTTATAATATTTGGTTGGTAATGGGATTAGCTTCATATGTGATGCATTGTATCCAATATGACTTGCTTTTCATTATTTGCACAATTTGCAAGAG